CTGGGAGTTAGTATTCTTAGTTTGTTAAACTCTGCCCTAGTCTAGTCAATTGTTGCTGATTTTTTAGTATCAAATCTGCTTCACTTAACAAGTTTTTATAATTTTTTAGTCTAGTACAAAATAGTCGTGGTGCTTTTGGTTTTGTAATATGACTTAAGACGAAGGATCAGTAGGCCCCCTTCCTTCCCACTTTGTTAATTATTTCCCTAGGGATTCTTGAGCTTTGCCCCTCCTGCTGAATTAAGTAATGACTTTGTTGACTTCTAGAAGGTAATATTGTGGTGGTACGATTGGTGCTTTCTGGTTCTTGGTCTCCCATACCATGACGGCCCTACATTTTAGAGACGTCTTATGATAGAATCATTTGCTTTAACTTTATTTTATAAATTTTGTGACACTCAAAAATGAAATGGCCTCCACCTTCAAACGCAGTACAAGGTTATTTTTTTTTGACTGTGACTGTGTATATGTATATGTATATGTATATATACGTGTGTGTGTCTGTATGTATATGTATATACATTTGCAAGGCAATTGGGGGTTAAGTGGCTTGGCCATGGTCACACAGCTACTAAGTGTCAAGTGTCTGAGGCTGGATTTGAATTCAGGTCTTCCTGACTCCAGGGCCAATGCTCTATCCACTGCACCACCTAGCTGCCCCCCCAATATTTTCTTAATCACCACATATAAGCATATAATGCACAGTGCTTCCTAACTCTCTTGTTTCCATTAGCTTCTGACACTATCTGGATCAAATTCCTTTGAAAAAAGGGAATTCTGAGGCAATAAGAACTGTAACTTAATCAAATAATTATTTCCAAATTCTCCTTAATAAGGGACATTCAAATAGGACGTTAATTGTGCAAAGCCCTTTATATGCATTATCCTATTTTCTTTCTTTTTTTTTTGACAATTATCTAATATGATCATGTATATAATGGTTAGATTTAAAAGGCAGTACTGTGTGATAGGAGAACCAGCCATAGAATCAGAGTCAAGAAAACCTAGATTTAATCCTTGTCTCTTCTATACATTGTTTGTGATGCTATTTCTATTCCCATCACAGTGCACAGGGCTGGGCACATAGCTATTCAGTAAATGCTTTTTAAAAAATTGATTTCGGAAACCATTGTACAATGAAACAATGAATGTAGAATCAGAATATTTGGTAAAACTCAATTGTTATTTGCTGATACATCAGTGACCTTGCATAAGCCACTCAAGTTTTTGTACCTCTCTTTCATCATTTATAAAATGAGGGCATTGTGCTGGATAATCTCTAAGGTATCTTCTAGCTGTAAATGATATTATGTTTTAATGTACTGGAGTAGCTATTCTATTTCAGGATATCCCACAAATATGTATCATGCATACTAAATACACGTCAATGGGGTCACCTTTGTGTCCTCACACTGATTCATCCCACCTACCCAGCCAGATCTTATTTTTTCTACATTCATGATATCTCTTAGAAGACAGAGATCCCTTTTCTCCGGTCACATAGTTGCCATCCTAGTTCATATCCTTATCACCTTTCCCCTAGACTTTGAATGCCTACTTCCAGAAGCCATGCTTCAAATCTCTCCACATTCTAGTTTATCCTCCACAGAGCTGCCAGAATGATTTTCCTTAAATTGCAGGTCTAACCCTTTCTCAATAAAATGACTTCAATGACTTTGTTACTTCTAGGATCCCATATAAACTTCTGTTTGGTATTTAAAGACTATAAAAATCTGACACCAACCAGTATTTCCTTTTCTGTTAAACACTGTTCCCTTTCACATTCCCTCCAGTGTATTCCAACTAGCCTTTTTATTCTTCTTCATATATGGCACTCCATTTCCCATTTCCATGACTTTGTATTGCCAGTCTCTTACATAAATACACTACTTCTTTACATTCAAATCTTAGAATTCCCAAGACTTAGTTTAAGTTCCACCTTCTATATGAAACCTTTCCTGATCCCCTCACTGTTAGTGCTGTTCCCCCCAAAATCACCTTTTATGTGTGTTATATCTATTTTGTATATACTTATTTATAGACTTGTTTTCCCTGGTAACATGTAAGCTCCATGAAGGAAGAGACTTTCACTTGTATGTTTATAATCCCAGCACATGATTAATAAATGGTTTTTATTTTATAAATTGCCCCCCTTGACAGGTATGATAAACTGAGAATTAAGTGCTCTAAAAGAGAAATAGAAATGAGTGTTGAGTCATAATAGATTCTTTTCTCAATGAGCTCCCCATTGTTCTCCCAATGTTGCTATAAAAATTTCTCCCACCTCTGGGATAATAAGGGCAATCTATGCTTGATTCATGGCCACTGACAACCTTGGTATTCTAACATGACTTCATATTCCCTTGAGATTTCCAGGAAAGAAGCCATAAATGTCAAACCCACAGCTCAAGGTATACCTAGCTAGACTCAGAACAGCCCTCTTGTTGATACCAAGTGAGTCTATGAGTGAGAAGTGGATACTCTGAGAGGTGAGATGGGAAGAAAGATGTGAAAGTAGTATGGAAAGAAGATGGAAAGAAGAGGCAAAGAAATCTGCTGTTCAACATTTCTGTTAATGATTTGGATAAAGGTATAAATTGTATACGTATGAAGTTTCAGGTGACATAAAATCAAGAGAAGTAACCTATATGTTGTATTATATCCTAATAGAGCTAAGATTCAAACTGACCTTTGAAGGGCTAGAACAATGGTTAGAATCTGATAAGGCTACATTTATTGGGAAAAATACATAGATTTATACTTGGGTTACAAAATCAACTGTATAAGTAGAGAATGGGAGAAGTATAAGAAGACAGCCATTCATTTGAAAAAGAAAAATCTTGGTCATTCCAAAGCAGTGAAATGTAGTAGGCAGTAATTTGTTGGATTTAATTGAAATTGAGGTTTTAAGGTAATCAATAGTATCATACATGCTGAGAGGACATTAAGAGAGCCATGGAGCCCAAAATGAGGAAGGTAATTCTGTAGGACCTCTGTATTTTACCTTGTCAAGTGTACATCTGGAGCATTATTTTCACACCATAGCTTAACAATAAATTACACATTGGAGTAAATCAGAAAAGACCAATCGGGATGATGAGTGGATTGTAGATTTACTGTAGGAGGATCAGTTAAATGAACCAGGGAGTTTAGCATAGAGCAGAAAGTATTTAGGGAGAGACATGATTGCTCTCTTCAGTTATTCAAAGGTCTGTCACTTGTAGGAGAGATTAGCCTTAGGGAGAAGAAATAGTAATCATGAATGTAAACTGCAGAGAAACAGATTTAGGCTTCATATAAGGGGGAAAAAACTGTCTAACAATTCAAGCTATTCATAAGTAGAACAGGCTACTCCAGAATATAATTATCATTATTATTATTACAATGAATATAATAACAGCTAACATATCTATCTATCTGTGGTTTAAAAGTTCTTTATAAATATTATTTTATCTGATTGTCACAACCACCCTGGGAGACAGATGTTACTATTATCTCCATTTTACAGATGAGGAAATTGAGGCAGAAAGAGGTTAAGTGACTTGTCCAGGATCATACAGCTGGTAAGAGTCTGAGACTAGATTTGAACTCATGAGTTCATAACTCCACGCCCAATATTCCACCCTCTACACCACTGCAAATGCTTCATTGGGGACTGGGATATTGGAATGACACTTAGTGGGGATATTGTAGAAAGGACTCTTATTTGGGATGGGTTGGATTCAGTGATGTGTAGGACACTTTCTGATTTTAAGTTCTATGATTCACTGAAAGGAATAAATAGTAGGGGGTTACAGATAGAGAACAAAGGGAATAGGAATGGATATTAAACTGATGAGGACTGGAGAGTGGATCTGGAAAGGTAGGTGATAAAGGTAGTGGGTGGGGGAATTTGTGGCATAGTATGACGAAAGAAACCCTACATAGAACCTTCCCAAAACGGTAGGCACAGGGAGTAGACTGAGGAGGGAGGACATGGAATGTAAAACTGGGTACGGGGAATAGAGAATAAGGATAGGCTTGGTAGGGAATGACAATATGGAACTAGCAAGCTGTGATGTTCATAAAGGGCTAGGGTGAAAACCAATCCCTTGGACAGCAGTTCAAGGTATCTTAATGGAGGTCTGATATATTTGCCTCTCTTGTTTTAATGGAGAATAATATTGAGATCCATTAATCTTCTCTAGCAGCCCTTTTTTTTTCTTTTGGAGTCTGTTAGGTTTTTGTGACCAGAGTACCAACTCTACCCTGGTCAGGGGTTAGATGCATGAAGGATGAGGTAAAGAATCTAAGAGAAGTAAAGGAAGACAAAGGGAAAATAACTCCGTGTGGGTCATGGAAACATAGACTCTGGGAGCCGTCAGACTAGAGCAGGAAGAGAATGGGGCTGTGTTGCAAGTTACATTAGCAAAGCACACAACAGACTACAATTCAGCTATATTAATATTAAGATTCTGGCCCTCTCACCTGTCTTCTTGGACTTTTTGTTTTTCTTAAGTTTCTTAGGAAATGTTCTTTCTGAAAAGTTCTAATCTTGTCTTATCTGAACTAGAGGGGAAAAGGATTTGTCAGAAGGGAATGGTTTTGTGGCTTCCTTCTCTGTCTCTAGGAATTGGGGTGGTGGTGGTGGGAGTGTCAAAGGCTGGGTATAATTCAGACATTAAGAATAGAATAGTGGGGCTTTGGGGGAGAATAAGAAAATTGAAATCCATGCACAGGGCATGTTCCATCTCTGCAACTCCTTTCCTTCTGGGGATCATGTTATAAGTGGGATAGAAGAGTAAGTAGCAAGAAGATGACAGGTAGTGCAGGCTGGGAAAGGAGGAAGCAAGAGCTTATAGAAGGGTTAATGAGACTGGAGATATGGGAAGGAGCTTGTTCCCTAAGGTGGACCTGGCAGATTGACACCTACACAGAGAAAGATTACCAACTTGAGGGAGAAAAAAAGCACTGGAAATTCAGATCAAATGATTTTTATTTAATTCTCAGGGCAGCTTTGAAGACTTTGGACTGCAATCTACCTTCAACATAGAGTCCTGTCTCATCAGAAGACTGGACATAACACCATAGAAGAAAGGAAACAGGGTAGGCCATTAGAATATTATCCTTGCAATCTACTAAGGACATCCCTGTATAAAAGGGCCTCAGAGATCCCCCCAGTCCAGAATCCAGTATGCTACCTAGCACTTCCCTCACTTTTCTACAACATAGGAAAAGCACCTCATTTATAGTTTCAAAGAACCAGATGAAAAAAATGAGGCACAAAGTGGTTAAATGGATACCTAGGATCACATAGGTACTCAACAAAGTCTAGTTTTAAATCAGGTTATTGGACTTAGGTCCAGTGTTCACTTAACTTCTGATGATATTTATGAGATCAGAGAGCTAAGGATTGATGGTTGGGTTTGTACAAGGATGAAATAGATTATATTAGTGAAATAACATCCCCAGAATAATAGGAGGTGATGGAGAAAGATAAAGCAAGAATTTGAGAGATGAATATCAATATAATCAGTAAGGAAATGATATAGTGATACAATATCTAATGAAGCCCTTAGTATACCTGGTCTTTCATTTTCTTGCAGGGTGGATTGAGTATGAGATGAGATTGTGGCTTTGTGCAGAGGCACCATGGTGGACTTCAGTGTCAGTAGTGACCTATCCACCATATTCTACCTCACTGGAATTCCTGGCTATGAAGTGGTACACCACTGGATCTCCATCCCTTTCTGCATCTTCTACCTGGTTGGGGTAGTGGGCAACTGTACCATCCTTCACATAGTTCGAACTGACCCAAGCCTCCATGAACCCATGTACTTTTTCTTGGCCATGTTGTCTCTCACTGATATGGGCATGTCCCTTCCCACTCTTGTATCACTCTTCCGAGTACTGTGGTCCATCTCTAGGGAGATTGAATTCAACACCTGTGTGATACAGATGTTCTTCATCCATACTTTCTCCTTCACAGAATCAGCAGTGCTCCTAGCAATGGCCTTTGACCGCTATGTAGCTATCTGTAACCCCCTGAGGTATTCCACCATCCTCACCCCACAGCGCATTGCCAAGATTGGAGTAGCAGCTTTCCTCAGGAGTGCATTCTGCATGATTCCACTTTTGGTTCGTCTTGCATACTTTCCCTTTTGCCGCTCCCATGTCCTCTCTCACTCTTACTGCCTACATCAGGACATGATTCGCTTGGCTTGTGCTGATACCAAGTTTAATGTCATCTATGGGTTGGTTTTAATTACCGTGCTATGGGGATTTGACTCCCTAGGCATCTTGGTGTCCTATATTTTTATTCTACGTTCTGTGCTGAGCATTGCATCTCGGGAGGAGAGGCTCAAAGCCCTCAACACATGTGCCTCTCACATCTGTGCTGTACTCATTCTTTATGTGCCAATGATTGGCCTGTCCATAGTACACCGTTTTGCAAAGCATGCTTCCCCGCTTGTCCATATCCTTATGGCCCACATCTACCTGCTTGTGCCCCCCGTGCTCAATCCTATCATCTACAGTGTAAAGACTAAGCAGATCCGTAGAGGGGTCGTACGTCTACTTGCCCCTAAGAGAATTTGTTCTATTCTAGGGTAGGTACTGTCAAGAAATGATATCCAAGATACTAGTTCCTGTGATAGACTGAGAATCACAGCTGAATGGGGATAGGGCCTTTCTTCTAGTCAAGTGGACTTGTGCTGGGAAAAGAAAATAGCAATTCTAGGACAAGCAATTCTGGGAGAGACTATCTGCTATTGGTGAGAGAACTAGCTATAGCAGTGGTGTCAAATTCAAATAGAATTGGACCCAGTTGGCCTCATATGGAAACAGAAAACCGCAAATTAACGTTATCTATGCTTTATTTATATTCATTTAAAATATTTAAAGTTAACAATTTCCCATTTACAGTTTGATCTAGTTTGGACACTGGCTCACAGGCCATGAGTTTGTCAACTGATCTACAGCCTTATTTTTCCCAAGACTCTTCATGCTATTCAAGCAAATCTTACTTTTCCTCACTTCTCAGGCTACCACTTTTTAAAAATATGTATTTCCTCCAATTATACGTTAAAACAATTGTAACAGTTTTTTAATGTTTTGAGTTCTAAATTCTATCCCCCCCTCCCTGAGATGGTAAACAATCAGATATAGGTTATACGTATGTAATCATGTCAGACATTTCCATAATGGTCATTTTTTCCAAGAAAACTGGAATAAAAGAAAGAAAGTGAAAATAGCATGCTTTAGTCTGTATTCAAACAATATCAGTTTTTTTTTCTCTGGAGGCAGATAGCATGCTTCATTATTAGTCCTTTGGGATTTTCTTGGATCTTGCTGAGAAAAGCTAAGTCATTCATGATTCTTAAGTGCACAATACTACTGTTACTGAGTACAACATTCTCCTGATTCTGCTCATTTCACTTTGCATTAGTTTATATAAGTCTAGGTTTTTCTGAAATCATCCTGCTTATCATTTCTTATAGCACAATAATATTCTATCACAGTCACATACCATAGTTTGTTTAGCCATTCTCCAATTTATGGGCATCCCTTCAATTTCCAATTCTTAGCCACCACACAAAGATCTGCCATAAATATTTTTGTACAAATGGGATCTGACCCTCCCTGCCTTTTTGATGTGTGATCTAGACCTAGAAGTGGTATTTCTGGATCACAGGGTATACACAGTTTTATAGCCTTTTGGGCATAGTTCCAAATACCTCTTCAGTATGGTTGGATCAGCTCATAGCTCCCATTAGTGTCCCAGTTTTCCCACATCCATTCCAACATCCATAATTTTCTTTTTTTATTAGCCAGTATTATTATATTAGCCAATCTGATAGGTATGAGGTGGCACCTCAGAGTTGTTCTAATTTGCATTTTTCTATTAATAGTGATTTAGAACATTTTTTCACATGACTAAAGATAGCTTTGATTTCTTTGTATGAAAACTGCCTGTTCATATTCTAGGCTGACTCTTATCCATGTGCACTATTTTATTTCATATATAATATTTCATCTTTTCTCTATTTTTGACAGCTTACTTACTTATATATGTAGCATTGAAAAGTTATAACAGCTGACAGCTGCCTACATCCCAGCTGTTTTATGTGGCCCTGAAGTAGCAAGGCAGCATCAAGGTGGAAGGTTTAAGATATCAAGTACTTGTGGCCATGTGACCAGAATGTAGGTTCAGATTTCAGATTCTAGATTAGAGGAAACATACTTGTGTCAGCTGATCTCTCCATGAAAGAAGAGTACACAAAATGAACATTTTTTTCCCTGATCTAGCTTGGTTTGCAGTGGTGGCTGCTGCTTTATAATCTCCTTTCTCATTCAACCCATTTCTGCAGACAATAGAGATGAAGAGACATCAAGCTACTAATCAGTTGATCTTTGGAGGCAGAACATATCCTTTTCTGGTAGTATAATCTTGAAGACTTGTGTCTTTTTCTATACTTTTCTTACTGCTTGCAATAGGATTCAATCATTGAAGACAGACAGAAAGGCTCAGGTTCTCTCATTCTGTAATTTATCTTTCTTCATAGCTCAAGTTCAATGTTTTACATGTAATAAGTGCTTAAGAAATGTTTATTGACTGATGGAATGACTGTTATTTGATAACTTTAGGGCCCATGACATAGACTGATAGAGCTATAAAGGACCTTGGAATCAGTCTAGCAAGCCCCATGGTTTTACAAATGAGAACCCAAACCCAGTGAGAGAAAGTGACCATTCCAAAGCCATTCAATAATTTAATGAGAGAGCTGAAACTAGGATCTGGATCTCCTGATCCTTAGTTCAGTCCTCTATTCCTCTTCTCTATTCCTCAGATAACCTTGTTTGGGCTTAAGCCCATATAGTTCCTCAGCATAGTACTTTGGGACATATAGTACCCTGTAGACTGGGGAACCTGGATTAATTTGATGGTGAAGCCTCTACTGTCTTACTCAGGTTCTACTACTACTTCTACCTCTCAAATGTCCCCATTTCCTACTTTTTCTTCTCCAATATGTTTCTATAATCTCCTTGAAATGAGTTAAAGGGGGCTTTACAGATGGTTTACATCAGCTCTCCAATGCTGATGTTCTTTTGTTTTAATGTTTACACAAGGTCTAGGAAGTGGCTCCCAAGGGCATAAGGACAAAGGCAAAGATACAATCAGGATCTAGATAGGGCAGAATACAGAGGGTATTAGCCTGGGTGGGAATTTCAGACTAGAAATGGGGGTTGAAGATGATTCAATGATCAATACAATGCAATGAGTAAAAAGGCTACTATTTAGCCTTGATCATATCACCCTAATCACCATAGAAGATGAATGGAGTCTTATCTCTTTTACCTTGGGAAAAAAATGGTCCCTTTCCAACATTAGTGGGATTAGCCAGCTCTAAATGCTAGGGCCATGAGTAAAGCCCCAAAGAATACTGACTCAATGACCGGCACTTCATATCCTGGAGTGACATGTTGGAACAGCCCACCTTTTGGGGCAGCCTAAGACATATCACCTCCTGAGATAACAGAACCAATGGGGGACCAAGAGTTTTGTTCTACAGGAAAAGGAAAGACATCTGGAATAGCTGATCAGAGTTCTGTATCTAATAAAACAAGGAGGTGGAGATGCAGATTAGCTAAGAAACTGGAAGATTACAGCCAATGAACATTTCAGATATGGGGAGTTACAAAGAAGTTATAGCAAGCATGAAAAGGGAGTGCAGAGACAGATTATCAGCGAAAGTTTAACTGCCCCAAATGTGTTTTTTTTCCCCAAGATTAACATCCCTCTTGCAAATCCTACATATAACAACTTACTTGTACATGGCACTTTAAGATTTATTAAACATTTTTCTGATAAGAACCTTATGCAATAATTGACAAAGCACAGTTCTGACTATGTTGTTCTCACCCAAGAAACTCCCAAGGCTTCTTATGAAGGGAAAAATGAACTTTTCAGCATTTAAGGTCATTCCCAGTATGATTTGAGCTTCTGTCCCCAGAATGATTTTACTTCTCTCATATACGTGATGACCATCCAAATTGATCTACTTAATATTTCCCATATAACACATTTCATCTGCTGTGCAAATGCCTTTTATACAGGCTTTCTATCCTTCACATTTGGAACACTTTCTCTCCTTATCTTGAATTTCTGGCTTCATTTAAAGTTCACTGTGCAAAT